AGTTCCAAATGCTCTAATCTGTTGATATTGTTAAGTGCCATGGAGTCAATTCTAACTCATAGTGATCCTGTATAGGGTTTACAACAAATAACTGGTGGATTTGAACTGCCAACCTTACAGTTAATTAGCAGTCCAGTGCTTAGCCTACGGCGCCACACTAGGACTCCACCTTTTATCTAGCTTTCTCTTGTATAACCATGTTCTATCTATCCAAACTATAATTAGCATTTGTTCAATACTCTTAACTAAGCTTTAGAGATTCTATTTAAGGAGCCCTGGCACAACACTGCCACCACCACCACCAACAGTAGTGTAATGGGTTACAAGTTGGACTGCTAACCTCAAGGTCAGTAATTCAAAATCTACCAGCCACTCCATGCATAAAGGTTTACAACCTTGGAAGTCCTATACAGGATCACTATGAGTCAGAACCGACTCAATGACACTCAACCACCACCACCACCACCACCAGAGATTTTATTGGGAATTTTCCATGAATGGTTTTCCAGCATCAAATCCAGGATACCACATTACATTGGTCATGTCTTCTTAACCTCTTCCAATCTGTGGTAGTTTCTCAGTCTTTCTTGTCTTTCATGATCTTTACATTATAGAAACTATGTCAGTTTGGACTTATCTACTGTTTTCTCATGATTATACTAAGGTTCTGGAATTTGCAAAAGACTGTCAAAGATGATGTGTCCTGCTTATCTTACCAATTGTATCAGAGGACACATGATATCAACATGACTTATTGCTGATAATGTCAACCTTTACCTTAAGATAATGTAGATTTTTAAAATAATAATTTCTGGTTAGTAATGTAACATATGAGAAGATTAGTACTACTATAGAGTTAAATCAAGACTTAAGTAGTCAAAAACATATTTAGTAACTTAATGTTGTTTATGCATTTAGTGCCTGATCTTGGACGCAGTAGAAAAGGCATAGCTTTTGGTGTCCCAGGGCCTGTGTATAAATTCCATACCCACTACTTACTGACTTAAAGTCACAATCTCAAACAACCTTGAAACTATCACCTGAAAAATTGAGATCATTTCCATATTTACCTCACAGAGTAATCGTGCAGATTAAATAATGTATTGCAATATTTTATAACCATAAAGCACTATATTGTTGTTGTTGTTAAGTGCCATCGAATTTCCAACCCATAATTACCCTGTATAGGGTTTCCAAGGTGTGGCTGGTGAGCTTGAACCGCCGACCTTGCAGTTCGAACTGATGTTGCAGTCCATCACATTAACCCACAGGGCCACAACAGGACTCTATGACACACTATAAAAATGTTAATTATTATTAAGTATTTTAGTTACTGTTCATTCAAAAATACTTTCATAAGTAGTTCACGTACCCACCTAAAAAAGCCTGTTGTATCGCAGAAATAAAATACCAGAGCCACAATTATGATATTAAAAAAAAAAATGTCCCTGAGAGTGCCAGTCTGTTTTCTGCCTCTGTTGGATCTATAAATACACCTAAGAGCTTGAGAGCAGGTGAGAAAATTGTAAATAAAACAATCACAATAATGATTTTAAAATTATGCACATTTGAGCCAAGGAAGGAAATGTACAAAATAATTTGACTAAATTATATTCCTATAAGCCCTTTTAAATGATTAAAACTGAAAAAAAAAAGTTTTCCATAATTGTATTTCATATCTAAATACAAAACCTGTATTTCAGTATTTATGGGGCATGTCATTACTAAGTTAAAAGAAAAACCACCATTTTCAATATAATAACGTGCTTAATTGTAAATCTTTCTTGTACATCGTATGAGTGTAAGATTATTGAGGACAGAGATGCCTACCTTTGAATATACTTCCGTGATTCAGTGATTATAAAACAGAACTTTATAAATATTGGATTTTCATTGGACGCGCTTTATAATGTTTACTTATGCTCCCTAAACTAAAACTGTAACCTCTGTGTTGCCGGTTCTGATTTATACAATAGGCAAACTATGCATATGCTTTAGGACTCCAACAGGGTGAAAAAGAAAAGCCACTTTCTTAAAGAATTTAATAGTTCAGCAAAAGCTTTGAAGTGGTTATCATGGGAAACATCAAAACTTTGTTGAACTTTTTTACACTTAAAAAAAAATGTACATGTGAGGTAGGGGTGGTAAGACATCAAAACCTTTCCAGTATTATTGTTGTTGTTAAGTGACGTTGAGTCGATTCCGACCCATAGCGACCCTGTATAAGGTTTCCAAGGAGCGGCTGGTGAGCTTGAACCGCCGACCTTGCAGTTCAAACGGTTTTACAGTCTTGTGCATCAGCCTACAGCGCCACACCAGGACTCCTTTCCAGTATTGTTGTTGTTGTTGTTAAGTGCCGTCGAGTCGGTTCCGACCCATAGCGACCCTGTACAGGGTTTCCGAGGTTGTAAATCTTTACGGGAG